CTGAACCTGTCTTTCTTGTCACCACCGGGATCCTGATTATGTTGCTGTAGACAGGGCTATTTTCCGCGACGGTCGCCGCCTTCATTGTCGAGAGCTACAAGCTTCTCCAACCCGATTCAGGAGATGCAACGGTCGTGCTGCTCTCCCAGCTCGTCGCTATCGTCAATGGCTCTCAGCCCCTGACGTCTCCCTCGGCTCCCTTCTCTGCACCTCGCTCTCTCATAGATGTCAACATTCTATGGTTTTTCAGCCTGATTCTCAGTCTAACATGCGCCCTCGGCGCGACGCTCGTGCAACAATGGACTCGAAATTACAGCCAGGCGGTGTTCGACGATCATTCAACACCGCGCGAGCGCGGCCGTCTCCGCGCCTTCCTTTTCGCAGGTGTCAAGCGTTTCCGGCTCCCGGCCGTGACCAGCGCTCTCCCTCTCCTCCTCCATATTTCCGTGTTCCTATTCTTCTCCGGAATTGTTGAGTTCCTTTGGCCGATCAACAGATCCGTCGCTATATGCACTCTGGTCGTCGTCGGGATTGTCGGATCTATCTATGCAATCCTCACTATCCTTCCCCTACTCATCCTCAACTGTCCTTATCACACCCCTCTCACGCCGTTCGCGTGGCCATTTCTGTTCGCCACAATCAAAATTCGCGACCTCTTTCGGACTTCAAGTTTTTCAGGATTCACATTCCGGGATCGAGCTCGCAACCTCCTGTGGATATTCAGGAACCTCTATTCCTCGTACCAAAGCTTGGACGAATACCTTCACAATCATCGTTCGGTATCCCGGGCCTTCGGGGTGTCGGACGTGGACGCTCTCTCAGACGCGGCGATGCTCATTTCCAACCACATCTTTGACGGTTCGCAAGAGGCATTCGCACAGGAACTTTCGGCTGTTGTCGAATGCTCCCCCACGTCTCCAGTGGGTACCCAGGCTGTTTTCCAGATGCACGCCGACGTCCATAACATATACGCAGTCGTGCCGTCCTTGTTATTTCTAGCACGTTCTTTTGGTTCCCCAGTAAATCGCGACTGGCGCTCCGTCATCTTGGTGAACCTGCTATCGTGTTTGAATTTCGTGCACTTCCGGAGTCTCAACGCTCCCATTATCCCCATTTCGTTACCCATGGAGGTGCGCCGGAGCGTGCCTCACATCCTCCAATCGACGCAATGGATTTTCGATTTCTGGAGGGTCGGCTTCATACGGAAACTATCGCGTCACAAGGTCGACAAAACAGCGACCAATGCTCGGGGTGTGTTTGGCCTTGCTGTGGTCGCCGCGCTCCAGAGCTCCCTTTCGCAGGACCCAAACATCCGGGATACTCAGTCAAATGTCGACCCAGGGAGTCTTTGTGGCGTACTAGGTGCGACATTCTGTGCGCACACGAAGTGGATGCATTTTATGACAGACGGAGAAAGCAGTTTGGCGAATGGGCCCTGCATCGCGGCGCTATGTGTCCTTTCCGACCTCGATGACGGCAAGGAGGGGGCTATCAGCTATTTGTCTTACTTCGCACACTTACACACGCTGGCCCTGCTATCGACACTCTCCCCATACGTGGAGAACACAGCGCCCGAGGTCAGGGCGGAATTCATGCGCAAATGGGAAGAGCTGAAATCTGCTCGGCCGGTGGCACTTGATCTTTGGGCCAAAGAGAAGAGAAAGGTTGCAACGCTGCTGAAGCCGCTGTACGATGCATTGCAGGCATCTCAAGCTTCAAGTTCTCATGAACCAGCCGGCCCAGCCCTCGATACCGTCATCACGAGCCCAACAGCGCCAGTTCCACCCCCGGAAGAACAGGACCGGGATGGGCAAGATATTGAGATGGGACATGTGGTACGCCCGGGTGGCAATTCGATAGATGGGCTGGGACGTGGTAGAGAGTTCGGAAGCTGGTGGGGATGGATGTTATGGCGGAGGGATGGTTTAGCTGGCCGCCGAGTGAGGGCACTGAGTGACGGTGGCACTGAGTGGGAGCTTTCGGCGATAAGAATGCCTACGAGCCGCCTCGCTGTAGACAGGTAGAGACAGTTCTACTCGTTTGGGTTAATAAAATTGTCCAGCATCGTGTCGAACTCAAGCACTAGGGGTAGCAGGTCTCGTGCGTTGACAAAGTTGAGAGGAGAGTTCGAGGGAGATATCGCGGCGCTGTCTCCATCAGTACTCTGGGAAGTGACCTGACCGACCTGACGGCACCTGACGGCGCCTGACAGCACTGATCCTTCGACTTGACAACGGTCGAACGGTGCTATTCAGGCGCGTCAGGTCGCGTCAGGTGCCGTCAGGTCGCTTTCCGGAGTGCTGATGAGTCCACATTGATGCGGCTGCCGCAGCAGCCACCTACAGATGGGGAGAGCATAGCAGGAGGTTCAAAATTAATGATAGACATCTGGATTGACCAGGGACCGCGGTTCGCTGGACCAAGGGTGCAGAGACTGGAAAAAGAGTGAGTATGTAAAGATGAAAAAAAGTGATTCGACCCAGGCTCGAACTGAGGACCTTCCGTGTGTTAGACAGATGCGATAACCAACTACGCCATCGAACCGTTAAACCAAAATTCCATCCTAATGTAGTGTCCAGAAGGCCATATCCTCGATTATCATCGGAGGTCGGATGAGCAATATGTCCTCTCATTCCACCTTCTCTTCGCAACAGTTTTTCGGAGGGTCCGCTCACGCCGTCGTGCGCGCGAACGAGGCGTTCCACCCAGGCGGGATCGTGTAATGGACAATTTCCTTTATGAGCGTGTCTGATCGCCATGTTCAGATAGAGAGGGCGCGGAGGGGATGTGGTGAAAAGAGAACATACCGAGAAATCTCTCCAGCTCTTTCCTGTCGACAACATACTTCGACTTTTATGTCCCGAACGCGTCGTATCCGCTGATCGGGTGCGATTCACACGAATGCTATTCAGTGCTTGGGTACGATGAGCCTCATATCGAGCTATCCATAACGTCAGTAACTGCCCACCGGTACTCCCTACCTTATGGATACACAGCGATAACCTACACGCAAAAAAGCAGCCCGCCGCCCATAGACGCCGTCGATGTAGTCAAAAAAGAAATGGCGAATGAGTACGTGCCGTAGTCGAGATCGAGCATGAGCGCGTAGCACCCTCGACGAGGACGCCCTTGCCAGAGGACAGCGTGCGATTCTAGCCGCTCCACGAGGCCCTGCGCGTAGAGCGAGTCAGTATCGAGGAGTGGAGAAGTAGTCGATTCTCAGGGGCAATGAGGAAGGCAGAGGAAGGCATACATAACAAGATTCGTCTGCACCGCTTGAAGCGCCCCTCGACAACAATTACGAAGCTCTCCCACGGAAGTGGTATGGTCGGAGTGAGCCCGCAGGCTCGAGATGCCTCGGCAAGGTACGCGGGACCTCTGTGTGCCCTAGTAGTAAAGTCCGTCGTGCCAGGAAGAGAAAGATAGGTTGATAGGAGCCGGAATGACACGCACTGGAAGAGGCTACCCCAGCGATTAAAGACCATCGACCAACTCCAACCGCCGAGCCTTGGCCGAGCCCATTACTACCCCAAGTAGTAGCCAACTTGTCGACATCGTCGGTGGAGAATTGTCGAGAGCCCGCGAACCAAGTTCGCCGGAGTTCGCCGGCTTAGTCATCGCTCAGTTACGCTGTTGAAAGGTCGACCAGCCGCGAGCACTGGCATCACTCACTCAGTCACTGTTCGTGCCTCTCGGTTCTCAAATCTCAACGGTTACGTCGCATGAAGTTCAACCCACGGGCATTCTTGGGGCCTAGGTGAAGCAGGTCCTACTTCCTGCTCCAACGTGCGTGCGTTTTCATCTCCTTCGGCCAATGATTATCATGGGTCACGGTCATACTACTACCCGCCGACACCACGATGAATTTTGGAACTTGTGCCAGGAGGTTTCCGCTCTCTGGCTGTGCTGTTTTAACGGTCGATTCGACCTCCACTGTACATTCTTTCTGCAGGAATTCTGGTCGGCGAACACCGTGCGTTCTGAACAGAAGACCGCCGTTCCGCCGCCGCTTGATGCTTGATGCCTCTACCGATTGCTCGCACCGAGCGGACTCTTGTCAGAGAACGAAAATACTAGTATGCACAGGTAGCACCACTATTCTATCGAGCACTGATGTCCAAGGATTATACTCTCAGCGAGAAATAACATTTTTAGATCGTCACTTCAATGGTAGGTTCTCGGGTGCTGACGACAAATTTTACTTATCGACATCGTGGCAACGCAGCGTATCTGGAGGAACCACTCAACCTCGCGCTTATGTTTCCCCCATCATGTCAGCGGGGGCCGCTCATTCGCTTCAAAAAATCGACTCTGAGTGGAACGACGGACGAGTCCTCAGGGCTCCAGTATACTTGGGTTCCTCTGTGGCTTGTACGTCCTTTATGCGGGGCCACCGTCTTGGTATATATACCCTGCCAGGTAGATGTAACCTTCACCAGCTCCTCTCCAACGGTTTTCCCCACCGCCATGGACACAAATGTCTCCATCATATATTATATCGCTTCAGCTCTGCTTGCCTTCACCGTGCTCGGAGTCGCCATACGTCGTAATCGACGCTCACTCAAGTACCTACGCGGTCCCAAGCCCTCCTCTTTCTGGCTAGGTATGCCACATTACACATTCAGTAGGGAGATTATCTCACTTGACATCGTGAACAGGCAACTTGGTGATCTCCGCTATCAAAAGGAAGTTGGCGACAAAGATTTTTCGTGGATGACTGAGTATGGCAGCGCCTGGCGTATCAACGGTGTACTCGGCGTGCGTTCTTTTTCTCTTCCTCGTGTATAATGGGATGTTTTAGGCTCATTACCCTCACACAGGAGGAAGAGCTTATGGTTGCCGACCCAAAGGCGCTGCAGTACATCCTTCAGACCTCCGGCTATCGCTTCCCCAAGAAGACCGAGATCGTCGCCACCTTCAGATTTATATTAGGTGAAGGGATTGTATGGGCTCACGGTATGTCTGCGAATTTTACCATATTTCGCTGCCGTGTATTGACCTTGAAACAGGCGAACAGCATCAGCGTCACAGGAAGATCATGACCCCCGCCTTCTTCGCGCCTCAGCTTCGGACCTTCCTCTCGCTCTTTCTGCGCGCAGAGAACAAGGTGAGTTGATGTTTTCATACGGTCAGTTTTCCGGACTCGTTTTTGACACCTATGACCTGTCACAGGTTTCGCAGAAGTGGAAAGACGAAATCCTCGCGAACGACGAATCCGAGGAGCCCGTACTGAATGTCCATAAATGGCTCTCTCGCACCACACTCGATGTGATCGGCGAAGGTACGCTGTCCTGCTTGATTTCTCAGAGATGACACCACTTATTATCGAGAATAGCGGGGTTCGATTTCGACTTCGGCGCCCTCGACGAGTCGGAAAATCCTCTGAATAAAATCTACGACAACCTCTTGTGCGTTTACCTCGTCTTCCCCGCCGTCTCGTAATTCTCACGGGATATCTGTAGCGTCGATTCGACGCTTTACCCACGCAAATCAGACATCGTCTTCAGGGCCTTCTGGCGCTATCTTCCGACAACTCTGGTCAATTTCTTCCGCTACCTCCCCAGCCGCGAGTATAGTCGCTTCCGCCGCTTCCTCGATTTCATTCAAGATTTCGCCAAGACACTGGTCGCAAGCAGCTCGGCTAAGGGAGACGGGAAAGACATCATGAGCGTTCTATTGCGTGCAAACTCGAAGGAGTCGACTTGCGGAAAGCTCCGAGCGGGAAGTCATCGACCAAATCTCGTACGTTCTACGTTACCTGCATCTGAATTGTTATTCTGATTTCCGGCGCGTTGCAGCACCATCCTTCTAGCCGGACATGACACGACCGCGAGCACGTTGAGCTGGTGGCTCTGGGAACTCGCAAAGCACCCCGAGTCGCAGACGAAAATGCGCGAGGAGGTCGCTGCTGTGCGCGCCAAAGTCGAGGCTCGGGGAGAGACGGAGTTCAACATCGCCGACCTGGAGGGTATGTCGTACATGCAGGCAACGTTGAAGGTCGGTACATCCGCCATTTTGCCTCGCCCCGATAATCCGTACGCTGATCTATATCTTCCGGCGATTAGGAGGGCATGAGGCTGCATCCGATCGTCTGGGAGCTGGGTCGTGTCGCCGGACAAGACGACGTCATCCCGCTGGCGTCTCCAGTCACCACCAAGACCGGGGAGGAGATATCGTCCATACCCGTGAAGAAGGGCCAGTACATCCATATTTCCATCTGCGGATACAACAGGTGACGAGCTCGTCTATCACTTGGCATCCCAGGCATCCTCATTCCCACCGATAGGCTTCCATCCGTCTGGGGCGATGATGCGCACGAGTGGAACCCTGACCGGTTCCTCAACATGGACAAAGCCAAGCAGACCTCCGTCGGCGTGTATGCAAATTTGTAGGTCACCCTTCCGTGAGCGACGATCGCAGCTGATCTGAACCCTCCCAACCCGCAGATTGAACTTTTGTATGTCCGGATTTTCCCTTTGATTCCATCGCTGACGGCCACTCCGTTCTCCAGCCGCTGGTATTCGCGGTTGTATCGGGTAAGTCCTTCTCACTGCAGAGCCGCTATGAAAGGCACTCACCGACTCTCGTTCCTCCACAGCTGGCGCTTCGCGTAAGTCCCACCATTGAGTCCATCTAACGTTCTCGATCCTACTCATCGATTTTTCTTCCAGGGTCATCGAGATGCAGGCAATCGCCGCCACCCTCATCGAGAATTTCGAGTTCGCGCTGCCGCCCGACTACGAGAAGAACAAGATCAAGCGGATGCCGACGGGAGTGATGGCGCCCATGGTCGACGGCAACCCGAACATCTGGATGGGACTCAAGGTCAAGGTTCTCCAGTGAGGCACTGACACGCACAGTAGATGTAATTACAAGGGCCCACCCCCTTCTGTAACTGACTCAAACTTTCCGGCTTTCAAACGTTGCGGTGTAGACTTCGAGCTTTATGTTGTCTGTTTTTTGAGAATTTGATGCTTTTGTACTCGTCTTGGAGATCGTGTTGCTGTACGTCGGTGCCGATGCGTAAATTGATCGTGTTTTGTGAATGCCGGAGACGACTTCGAGCATGCGAATCCCACTAAGTAAGTAAGTACGTTCGTAGAGATCGGCGGTCGGCCACAGCGATCTAGAACAAGGCGGTGCCTGGAAATAGACTAGAAGACAATGGTTGCCGGTAAGCTTGTAAGTAAGATAGTACTCAAGGGTGATCAATTAACTTGTGACTTAAGTAGCTTGACTTTATGGCGACGCCATGGACCGTATGTACTTGCTTTTGAGTTCGCTTACGATTATTTCCGTAAGAATTGAAGCTACAAACGCGTGTGCCAACGCAAGGCGACCACCCACTATCCTATCACG